ATGCTTTCCCTGTGGGGATTTACCCTGGCTGAAGATAGATGTTCTCAGTCCTGTAGGGATTCACCATTACAAGACCTTTTTGGACCTGTTGTGCCTAGCAGCAGAAGAGGCTTCTGCGTTTTCCCTTGATAGTATTACAGTTAACTATTTAAGGGCCAGCTCCTAGACTCATATCTAAATTACTCATTGACTGCTAAACAAGCCTTTTCAGAACAGCCAAGACTTCCAGGTGTAAATGAGCCTCACTGCCTTGAGTTTATTGGTGCAGTGCCAGAAAGATCGGGCCCATGTGTTCTGTCAGTTTGGAACTGTTACATTTGGTCTCCTTTCCTCTCCTGCTTTTTCTGTTCGCTAAATGCCGTTGCAAACTTCTTTGTACTAAAGAACAGCATAAAATACCTCTGAATAAAGATTTCTGTGATCTTCAGGCAAAGTCCGGGATAAGGAGGCAAAAAGAACAGAAGGCGGCTGTGCTCTGAGCTTCTGGATTACCTTGTTGTGATAAAGCAATAACAGAGCATCCACTGCTGTGATGGAGAAGGGGATGCTTTCTTCAGGAGTGCTGAAAGCTGCCTGGTGCCGTCTGCCTTTATGAATGTGTGGGTTCAGCACTGTATGTGCTGTCTGGCAGTCTGCACAGAATGGCCTTACGTCAGGTGTACCTCCATTGGAATGTAATAATACGGGTCAAGGTTGTGACATAATTTTAAGGCAGTGCAGTTTACAGTCTAAGCACTTTACAGTCCAAAGAGAAAAGTAGACACCTAGAGATGACCTTTGTTTGATCTTCATTAGGCATCTACTTTAGGTTGAGATCTCTCATTTCGCTGTCAGACAGCTCTTCATCCCACTACCACTTCCAGAGAATGTCTTCTGGGTCAGCCGTGTTCCTAAACCTGTTTTTCGAAAAAGTGAATTCCTTCCCCAAGTATTGATGCCTTGCATGTCCTTCACATGGTGCACACCATTTCTAGGTTTATTTTCTTAATATCTTACTGAGGGCCCTGGGAGAAGGATAACAATAGTCCACAGCCATGGAAGTGAATACCTTGATCTGCAAACACTTTACCAGCTCTTTGCTTCAGCTTTGCTGTATTTGACTTCTGATGATGTATTTGGAGTGCGTCTGGACAAGTTCCACTTTGCTTTCCAGTAACAAGCTGAATGGTAACTGCTGCAGGGAGTTCGTGTGAACCAGGATTTGGAAAAGCTGTATGCTTGCTCTGCATCCATAAATTTAGATATATTTTCCTGGCTGCCCTTTACTGGAACTGTTAAATCGGTGTTTGCTATTCCCTGGGCCCTAACTTTGGCTTATTTTGATGGGGTAAAGTGTAAGGAGGAGGGGGATGGAATTTGGCCATCCCTTCCTCCAGTGTGCTGTGTTGAAGGGGGAATCACCTGCATGGGCATTGTATAAAGAAACGGGCATCTGTGAGGGTGCATGCTCCTATCACGGCTGCTGTCAGAAGGAATCGTCTCAGCCCGGATGCTGGCTCTGGGCCCTGAGCAATCACGACTGTTGCAAAGTTCCTCTCCTCTCACTCTCCCATGCCACACAGCTCTCTCCCCACCATGTTATGGCAGATACTCTGCTCCACTGAGCCAGGACGTGGGTCAGCAGAGGCAGGGCAGCACCAGCATTCAGCATGGGGGGGAAATCCTGTTCCCGAACATCCCCAGGGTGTCTGTTTCCACCCATGTCCGCTTAGTCACTGGGTGCTTTCACATACTGTAGAACCTTGACATCGGCCCTGGGCCAGACTTTCCCTGTAGCAGGGATCGTGCCAGGGCTGCCTCTGACTCGGTATGCAAGGCCATTCATGTCTCTGTGTCTGCTCTCCCCACTCTGAAAGTAGGATAATGGTCCTCAGATATGGGGTACAGCTGGGCTGGAGCGTTTACCATTTGTGCGGTTTCTTGAAGCTGTGAAGCAGATCCTTTCTCTCTGATTTTGCTCCAGTGTAGCTCCACTGACATCTATGGGGCTTGTTCTGACTTACACTAGTAGTGTAAGTGGAAAATCAGTCTCAGGGTTTTTTCTTTAATATTCACAATATTCTGAATGTGCCTGAGTCTTACAGATTAATTCTTGCTGGGATTGCCATTTTTTTTGAATGTGCCTTAATTTTAAATGCCTCTTTCCTAGTCCTGTTTCTCTGGACTCCCTATAGATGACCCTGAGACCTGCTTACTATTTTGTGATATTATCTTGAGCATTCTCTTTGAGTCTTGAAAGACTCAAGAGATGATTTGTGAGCATTTTCCTTTCTTCTCTCTGTGCCCCTCCATATCTTCCCCCACCTCAGATACAGCCCAGTCAAGCTGGCTCTTGCTAATTACCTAAGGAAGTAGTTATCTGCAACAGTGGCATTCAATCTCTTTGAAAAACAGAGAGATTAACTTGTCGAAGAGTGGTCGTTTTTTTCTTGCTACAACTCATGGTGAAGGCTTTTTTTCCTGTCTCATTTTGTGGTCTTTTTAGACTTGAAGCACACCGATTAGCCAATTCCTTATACAAACCAGCTGTGAACTCTCCTCCATAGAGATGCTCTATTGTTCCATGCTCTGAAATTGTAATTATCAAAGAAAATTATTGAGCTGAGGCCAAGGAACAGTAACTTTGTTACTTGAGTAATGGGGGTGAGATGCAGTTTGGGAGACATGGAAGGATTAGAAACACATTGGCGAGAGAGAGGAGTATTATTAGGAATGGCAGGGCTGAACAGAGTCCTGCTGTTACTTAGTCAGATCTGTAATGCAAGCGCGGGGAGATGAGTAATGGCACACCCTGTCCCACAGGCTTCCACTAAGCTAAGCGCGTATCGCGCTGCAGACTGAGTCCACGCACCCTTTCCTTCTCTACACCCCGCTCCTCAAGTGCTTGCTGGTAGCATGTTTAAAAGGACTCAGAGTCCCTATGCAGAATGTTTCACAGACATTTTCCATTTGTTTAAAGGGGTTTGCAGACTCGGGCAGAAATGAGCATTTGTCCCGTCAGGCTCCTCAGCAATCACAGGGTCTAAAGCATTTTTGCCTGGGAGAGAACCAAGAGAAACAAGGTATATCTCCAGTTAGTTACATTTCTTTCTTTTAAATCCTTTCCAGGCATATAGTGCTGCTAATGCTGTGACCTGTCTCACAACTAGCACTGTCCCGCTGTAGTCATTCCACTTTCAGTTTTTTTCCTCTGATCAGTCACCCAGTCCCAGCCATGCATGGATGCAGACACAGCTGCAGTAAGCACAGGCAGAGAGTGCCCGACTGTGCGTGTGCATATGTGTAGGTGTTCACAGTCTTTCAGCGGTCTTCACGATGTCACAAGCATGGCATCGCTGACAACGGTAGGACTTTGATCTCTCCCCACTTCTTTGCAGTTCAGCCTGCTAGCGCGGGATCCCTCTCTCCAAACTTTAGATGCCTGCAGTGTATCCGTGTCAGTCGGTTATCTTGGCTCCCTTAAAGAATCGTGGTGGTAAAGAGACACTTGTAGGGCACATTTCATTTGTCCGAATTCAGAGGTCTGCTTTAGGATGAGCAGGATCATACATGTTTGTTCAGAGGAGTCCTATCTTTAGCATCTGGAATCTTCAGCATCTTTAGCACAGAACCGAGCAGTCCTGTGTTTTAAAGACTTACTGAAATGTGGAAAAGGAGCATGAAATAGGTATATGACACCGGTAAAAAGCAACATCTAAAAATTATGCAATTTTCTGGGGTTCCTGTAAGTTCCTTGGATGTTCGTTATCTTCCTCTGTAGTCTCTCTAGCCAGGTGTCATGGCCTTTTGCCTGGTAAATATTACTCTAAATATGGCTTTAACAGACAGAGATTTAGTACAGGAGAAGCAAGAGGAAATTCTTCACATATATCCTTCTGTTGTCTGAGCTGACAAATATTAATATTCAAGCATTAGAGCATCCAGTGTCTGGTTCTTTCCCCTGCCCAAGCTCCCCTTTAAACTGACTGAACCCAGATGTTCTGTATCTTATAATAAACTGATACAAACTGTTTTCTGAGCCAATGAAGAGAATTCATCCTCAGTACTGAAGCAAGCATCGCAAGTGATTCCTTGCAAGAAGGAGGCTTAAGAAACCACAATCTGTGATATTAAACTGTTAGTCTAGTCCACTTTATACCTAAGACACAGACGCTTGCAGTGCCATCACAAGTACTAAATGGCGTTGTTGCCATTCGGGACCTGTTTGTCTGTGCATGGATGCTAAGACGCTAACATTTGCTTCAGGAATGTGGCCATTGCCACTGGTCTAAACCCGGAATCTCTGTTAGGTGTCACTAATTATTCATTTGGGGTTAGACAAGAACTGAACTAATCTGAGTTATAAAAACAAAACTTTGGTGGCATGATGGTACTGACAATCATTTTGGGGTTGAACAATAAAGATTCTCTTTGTCAGAGTAGCTTATACCAGTTCCCTAAGCAAAATAAGCCATCTCAGTAACAGTACTTCTCTGCTAGAATACCTCCTCATACTAGGTTTTCTGTTTGTATGGAAATAGCAGGAGAGAAAATCGTTTCCTGATGCCGTGATATACCCAGAGGTTTCTAGTTTAGCTGTGGCTTTTGCGCTAAAGAAAAGGAGCAGGTAAAGCTCAGTTTATTTTCTACATCCTTGACGTATGTAGCAGCACCATCTACTGGTTTCACTGTTCATGGCCATAAGCTGCTCCCGTTTAGCTCGCTGGTACGTTTGCTGACATCTGCCAGCACCCTGGGCTGTGGTGCACTGGCTGATTAAAACCCTGCTCATCTGGATGGACAAGAAAATAGGAAATGTTGGAAACTCGGTGAAACCAGGCTTCTTAACCTAAAAGGCTTTGGGTTATCTTCTGAGGATAAATGTCAAAGTGGGGAAGGCACTCAGATTCTGTAGTGACAGGGCTTAAGAGAAAGGTTCCTACCACAAGGTTTCTAACAGCATACCAGTAGCGTATCATCGTTGCCAGGATGGCCATCTCACGGTGTGTTTCTCTTTTCAGGCACTGCATCAGTAGCAGTAGCTGGCATCTTTGCAGCCTTAAGAATCACAAAGAACAAGCTCTCTGACCATAAGTTTGTTTTCCAGGGAGCTGGAGAGGTAGGAATGTTCTTGAGTTTGTTCCTAAATATCACCTAAATTCAAATTTAGAGACAGAAAAATTAACCATGAAACTTTTTGTAAAGGCTTCGCTTCACAAAGACAAGACACAGAAGCAGGTCCCTTGTCACCAGGCAAGAGTGGGCCCCACAGGTGCATCTTGTTGCTGCATAGAAGTTGCCAACAATCTCTCAGTGATGTCTTGGCCTGTGAGTCCTGGGCAGACCTTGGATACTATGAGGCTGCCCGTATCTCAGTGGGGCTTTAATGTGACTTGAGGAAAATCCCTTATGAGGCAGGGTGCTGCATTAGCTTCAAGGAGACTGGTTCGGGTCCTCAGTGTTGGTATTTAGGGGAAACCAGATCCTTTTTAGCAACAGAGTCAAAATGATTTGGACTCAAAGGACTGCAAGCCTGTCCAGGACTGCCTGTTCCCTCAGGCAGGAGTGGGAGAAGAGAGCATTCTTCTCTTGGCAGTCCTTCCGATGCAGCACTCCCACTCCTGCTTTGAGTTCCTCTCTGCTGGCATTGTCACCGATGTCCTCCTGTTTTGGTGTCTGCCCCTTTCCCTCCCCTGCAGAAGCCAGTTTGAATGAGAGAGACAGCCTTTTCCTCTCAAGGTACCAGCTTCACTGCTCCAACCTCAGCCTCTTGGAGAAGCCCACAGCGTTTGAGGAAGACAATCTTTATTGTTCCGGCTGTCCCAGTCTCATTCATACAGGCAGCCTGCTCTGCTGGACAATTGCTTTTTGATTTATGGTAGCACATGCAATGCTAACATCTGCCTCCTGCCAAGAGACTGTACCACCATAGAGCAAAAAAGCCTCCCTGCTTTCTGCAGTGCACACTGGCCCATCACATCCCTTATTTAAAAACTTTCTCCAAAAGACATTGCTACCCCAGTGAGGTGTTTATTTACTACCTCTGTGTTCTAGGCTGCAATGGGCATAGCTCATCTGATTGTCATGGCCATGGAAAAGGAAGGAATTTCACGAGAAGATGCCATCAGAAAAATTTGGATGGTGGACTCAAAGGGTCTGATTGTCAAGGTAAATCCATCTTCAAGGGTCTGATTGTCAAAGGAAATCTGTCTCTAATGCTTAGCTCCACTCCTCCTGCACCTCCTGCAGGCTCGTGTGAGGCCAGAGCAGGCAGATGCCAGTAAGGGCTGCAGTTCTGCCAGGGTCAACAGGGCTGTTCCTGCTGTCAGCAGGGCTGGGTCTCATGGGTATGACAGTGTACCACCGACTATCCTAAAGGCAACACTTTGGCCTAGGCCCCTTAGTAAAGCAATGGGATGCTTTGCTGTCTCGCTAGATTGTCTCTGGCCCTCATTATCAAGCAATGACAGAAGTATTAGGTGTCATGCAGGGTATTACAACAGCAATGTTGTGCTCTGCTTTGTCCTCCAGCCTGGCCCAGCTCTACTCTGTACTCCCTGGGTCCTCAGGGCTTCTGCCCTTGTCCTCCCCAGACTCGAGGAGACTTGTGTTACTTGCACACCTTCTCTGCCTTGCCAGCCAAATCCTTCCTCCGCATAAGCAATGTATTTTGGGGGGGTCCATAGGAGCAGAGGCCAGCCCCACATGCCATTATATCACCTACTCGATATGCCTGGCTGTTTGGTGCTGAGAGGCTTCTCTGAGGAGCCTGGTTGAAGAACAGGGCTGGGAGAAGGAATGAGCTGATGAGTTACTAGTTGTATCTCCAGCTTTTGTCAACAGCCCTAGATTTAATTCCTTCTTTTCCCTCACAGGGGAGGAGCCACCTGAACCATGAGAAAGAGCTGTTTGCTCAGGACCACCCCAGTATGAACACACTGGAGGAAGTTGTGCAGAAAGTGAAGCCTACGGCAATTATAGGTGGAGTTCCCTTAACGTGACCTTTCCAGAACTGTTCAGTTCTTAGGAGATTTTTCTGTCTTTCTTGCAGGACCTCCTTTTGTTCTCCCAGTCAAAACACATTGACCTTTTTTTTTGCCGCCGTTTTGTCAGCTGAATTCTCCACGTCCTTTTCCCTTAGACTGTGAGGCACAGGCTTCCTTTCTGTGGACCTGCAGAAACCCTCACAGCCCACTGCAGAGGGAGTTGTAAAGGCAAGGCAAGATCTGGGGCTCTCAGCACCAAGCACAGTGCAGGCAGCCCAGGCAGGACAAGGCTAACGGCAGGTACCACAAGCAGGTTTTTGGGAGGGCAAGTGCCCAGCACCACAGCCAGTCCATCCCAAGCACTGATCCCCACCCTGCCTGGTGGAGCAGAAGGCTTTATTTTGAAACAGTACTTTTAATCTCACCATAACATGACAAAGACACATTCCTACCTGCATCTTTAGACATGGAGCCTTTTCCCTCCTACAGTTCTGCGGGCATTAAAGAAAGATCAGTTCAATGCACTGAAGTCAGAAAGCACTTGCTCACTCTGCTGTTATTGTTTTAGGTGTTGCAGCCATTGCAGGTGCTTTCACTGAGAAGATTTTAAAGGATATGGCAGCATTCAATGAGCGGCCCATCATTTTTGCCCTGAGCAACCCCACGAGTAAAGCAGAGTGCACAGCGGAGCAGTGCTATCACCTCACCGAGGTACTTGATCTCAGCAGAGTGAAGCTGGGAGCACATGGCATGCTATGTCCCTGACCATACCTAGGACAGCTCAACGATGTGTGGTGGGAGGACAGGAGACCATAGACATAATCTGAAACAAGAGGGATTCAGTCTGGTTATAAAGAAAAATGTTTACGCTCTGAGGATAGTCAGTCAGTAGAACAGGGGCCCAGAGAGGTTATGCAGTCTCTATCCTGGAAATTTTTCAATATCCTACTGGATAAAGCCCTGAGCAACCTGGCAGCTGACCCTGCTTTGAGCAAGAGTTTGGACTAGAGACCTCCTGAGGGTCCCTTCCAACCTGAGTTATCTAGTGATCTATAAAGAAAGCAGTTGCTTCCCTTGCCTGCTGCTGTGTGTTTGAGATGCCACATCCTCCCAAGTTATGCTGCTCTGTGTTTTGCTACCCTAGTAGTTTGTGTAACGATTTTGTCACCCAGCTCAGACCAAATGTCAGTCAAGAATTACTGTCATATGCATTGACCAGGGGCAGTGAGGAGGCCTTGGCTGACTCTCCACTTTGCTCCCACCTCCTGTTTCCTTGTCATAGGACCTCTGTCTGGGACAGTTCCACAGCCCCCAGACCTTTACCCCACACTTTAGGGACCTTTCTGCACTCCAAAGACATTCAATAGGGAGGAAGAGAGACGACTTCTCAGGAGGTTCAGAGCACTGCAGCTGGGAAGTGCAAACACCCTCTTGGTGCTTGGTGCCCCTGTTCTGCACGGCTCTGGTGACCAGGCCCTGAAGGAGTATCACCTAGAGCTGGCTCTGGTGGAGATGCCTCTTGCTGGCTGAAAACATCTCCCACTTTTGGATGCCTCTTTCTCTCTCTTTGATCAGGGTCGGGGAATATTTGCAAGCGGGAGTCCATTCTCGAAGGTAACCCTGCCCAGCGGACAGACCTTCTTCCCTGGCCAGGGAAACAACGCCTACGTCTTCCCGGGAGTGGCACTGGGAGTCATTGCTTGCGGGGTCCGGCACATCTCTGATGACATCTTCCTCATCACAGCAGAGGTTTCCAAGTGGCATTTAACTATTGCTTCTAAGAAAATGATAAGGTGCACATGCACCTACTTGAGGCATTTGCTAAAACTTGTTGAGTGGAAATTGCACGGTCTCAGCAAAATGCTGTAGCTTTTTCCAGTCTCAGGGAAGGCTCATGTTTCCATTGTGGTTACAAAGGTGCTTGCGGGAGCTGTGACAGGGTTCCCTTCATTCTCCACGACTGCCACTCTTTATACCAGTGTTTGGGACTTGCCTAAGCAGAGCTCTTCCGTTGTCCTGTTTCCAGTTTTAAGTCTGGATTGAAATGCCTACACACGTGCATTTGAATAATTCCGCAGTTTGTACTCAGAAGAGTAACTCCCAGCTCCATCACTACTGAGGTTTCAGTGCTTAATCCTACTGAATGTATTACGTGCTTAAAACCCTCAGTGTAACTACCTTCCACTTCTTCTAGTCTATTGCAGCTGAGGTCACAGAGCAGAACCTTGCAGAAGGAAGACTGTATCCACCCTTGGATAGTATCAGAGAGGTGTCTTTCAAAATCGCTGTGAAAGTAAGAACTGATTTATTTCCACTTTCTGTGGTAGAGAAGGCAGGAACTGCCCATCTTGTTTTGTGATTTTTATTTCCTCTTATACTGTAGCCTGAAGGAGTGATTCTCAGGAATCCTTCCGTGTTCATGCCAGAATTACTGCTTCTATTTCTCTTATCATTAAACCCCCAATTTGAAAAATAGCTCCTGGTTCTGGGTGACTCACAGCTCACGAAGCTCTGCTTTATCACTTGGAGCTGTGATTGCTCAGGACTTCCAGAAATCAGGTTTAGGTTTAACATCAAACATGAATACAAAAAGATTTTAGGCTCCAAATTGCTATTGTGGAACCTCTCCTCCTTTTGAATTTGATAGTCACCTAAGAAACTAAATATGATTTTGCATTGCGGCTTGCTTGCCTAATTTGGGAATTTCTATCCTGTATACTCCTAATTCATAGTTCGTGTTCAGGCCTCCAAAAGGCAGCATGCTTCCAACGGGGTGGAGCACCCACTGAGAATCACATTGGCCTGGTAGGAGTTGCTGAGAGATGCACAAGGTACCTGATGAGCTAAGGCTGTGAGTGGCAGTGGTTAAAGGGCTGTTCACCTCCTTTAGTTGTGCACAGCAACCATTTCACTAGGGTAGAGGAGTGCATCTCTAAGCAGCCAGTAGCTGACTACAGACAGTTTTTATTCCTTCACCAGGGGGATGAAGCACAGCTGAGTCAGGGGATTGCACAAAGAGAAATGAGCAAAATAGGTCACTATTTTGAAGGGGATGAGAATAAATGTGTCGGTGTTATTTCCTCACCTTATTTTGCTTATCTTTTTGCAGATTGTTGACTGGGCCTACAAGCATGACCTTGCTTCTTGGTATCCTGAGCCAGCAGACAAGGAAGCCTTTGTGAGACAACTCACTTACAGTCCTGATTATGATTCATTTGTTATTGATGATTACAGATGGCCTGCCGCAGCCATGCAAACACAAAATGTATAAGTTTTTGTTAGAACTGTCTTCTTTTTTCCATCAGTTCCCATGGTTCATATCATTGCTGACATAAGTGCACCTCCAGGGTTGCAGAAGGATAAATGTAACTGAATCCAAGTCCTTTTTTTACTTTCTGCTGCCTTTTCTCTGTGGGAGCACATCAGTAAGGAATAAAATAGAGCCATCGCTGGGCGCTCAGTACTCCAAGGAGAGAGAGACTATAACTGCAGCCTGGCACAATCAATCTGCACTGCAAGTTTCGCCATATACAAAGCGCTGTAGCCTCCATGAACGATGTTGTACCCTTTGCAGTCTGCCTCCTTCATTTGAAAACATGACCTCTAGGCTGTAGAATAACAGGTAGAGAGGGAGGCAGAGAGCCCTCCCAAATGACAGGAGCCCTCCAAAGATGGGCACATAGCTGAAAATATTGGTAGGGTTCATTTTCTCAAAAAAACAGGCTCAGTGACTTATTATCAAAACCATAAGTCTAGTATGGCATTGTCATATTTTCTAGCGCTCCAGTCCCCAGCCAGTAACACTCGTGTAAGCCGGGGGCAGCTGTCACTCGTGAAGCCACTGGCATCTTACAGGGCATCCTCTCAAAAACCTGCCACTCTTGACAGTAGCCTCCCCACAGCTGCAGTTACTACTGAGTTCTCTCTCCCCTCACCGTTCCAGAGCCCCACCAGAATCCTTCAACAAGTAACACAAACACAGTTGGAATTCCAACAGAAACTTCTTTTAGAGAAATCCCCGGAGTTTGTGACCGTGATCGGTAATTGTAAGGCTTATTGTTGTAACTGTTACGCTTAAACAGCAATCCCAGGGTATACAGGCTTATTCCAACAGCCTCTCCTTACTTGGTACCAATATGCCATGAATGTTCTCAGGGAATATCAGTAGGGTTTCCACTTGTAGAGTATTTTTGTGGAGTTTTTTTTTCATGCTGATCAGAAAAACACTCCCCAAAGTACTGTGATTACTAAACGATACTGATGATAAGTTTATTCTGCTCTTTAAATGCAGCTTTTAAATTGACATGGCTTGGCTTACCAAGTCTGCCAGTTATGGCATGGGATGAGCACCTGGCTATTGTCAAGCTAATCACTAAGGCACTGAAAGGAAACACAGAAGTTGGTCTCTTGTGAAGTGTTAGAAAATATTTGTCACCAAAACAGCCACAAACGTGTGCAGCTGTAAAGAGAGAAGACACACGATATTCTGAACCATGCAGAAGCGCAGAGCTGTGATGAGGAGGGGATGGAGGGGAAAGAAGGGCAGTGTGGGATAATTAGACTATGTAAATATTGAGTCCTCGGTAAAGCCTTAGCGGCCAACAGTTTGCCTTGCACCCCTGCTACCCTGAACCAACTGCCCACAGAAGTGCTTTGTCAGAGGCTTGAATCACGCTGCTCAAAGCCTTTTGTTTCCTTTTCCAGTAAGTATCAGAATCAAACAAACCTGCTACATTTTCCACAGTTTGAATCCTAATGGAGGGAGGTCCCCAGCTCAGTGAAAGACCCCGGTCCTATCTGGACTGGCTTGAATGCCTGGCTCTCAGCCCAAGCTATACATGAAGCTGGATGCCGGATGGGATAGGGGTGTCTAATCAAGCACTGCAAGCAATTGTCCTCCAGGTCTAGATTGTCATCTGAGTAGCCTTTGGGCTCCTCATAGGTCCATTCTGCACAGAAGCCCCTGTGCAGTCTACCAGCAGCTCCAAAGAGCAGTTCAGCCCAGCTTGAGAGGTGCCTGCTTAACCTCACTTCCCCACTTTTAGCTCAACTGCGCTCGGCTGCCTGAGGAGAAGCCACCTGGGGCTGGCCCAGAAGCCAAGTGTCCCATTCCCAGGGGAGTGCAGATGCAGGGAGCTCAGAGCCCCACCTCTGTGGTAGCAGTGGTGTGCATCTGACAATCCGTTGCACATACTTGCCATTCTTTGCCTGTGGACCTGTGGGCACTGTGAGAGGTGTGCCCATTGCCTCAGAAGAGCTAGACACATTGGCAGCCCTGCCTGTGGCCTGCTTGGCACATCCTGCACAGCCAAGGAGTTACCATCCCACCCCAAGCAGCTTGACGGTGCTCAGAAGCTGCTTCCTGAGCTCAGTTACTGAAGGTGGCCAGGGGAGAAGCCAGCTCCTCCTACCAACCTACACAGGCCTTCTGGAGCCCTGCAGGCCTCATCCACCCTTCTTCCAGTCTCCACAACACAGGTGCTACAGGGACCAGCTGAGCTCCAAAGTGGTGGTTCTTCCCTGCACAGGCCCACAGCTCCCACTTCACGTGCACCATTTGCACCTGTGCCACCTCGAGGCTTAGGAATGCTTCACGCAGCTTCTGGACCAGCTGAATGGCCTGAGCATTTCATTACCAAGCATTAGTGTAAGGTGGTGGAGCCTCTGCCTGCCTGCACGAGCTGTTTTCATACCGCAACAATGGCCTTACCTAGGGTATATTTCAGCTGTATAGGCCAATAAAGCTTTGTTTTAAAATTCATCTCCAGCTCATTCTTCCACTATTCCAAAAGGAATGAAAAATCCCTGCATTGCATGTCCTTGATAATGGGATTTCACCCATTAGGCCTCTTGAGTCTTGGCAGATGGGGCCGTAACGCCAGCACTGCCTGTCAAGGGGCATCGGGGTGGTTCAGTCCCTGCAAAGGCCACCCCATTAGGCCCTAAGCAGCCCTCCTACAGCTTAGGCAAAAGTGTTCAGCCTAGTCAGGCTGGTACCAGGGCAAAAGGCACTGTGGAAGCACAGGGGCCAGGGAATCAGGCACTTTGCCATTACCCCAAACTGAAAATAAACCCATAAAAGCTCCTTTCTCCCCATGGGGACAAAAATTCTCCAGCTGTTTTGTTGCCCAAGCTGCTTCCAGAAGACACCAGAGCAGTGGTAGGCACAAGCCCACAAGCAACAGCCCAGGACGCTCCAGCGCCCACCATGTACGCACACCCCACACGTACACTCTGCCATCATTGCATTTTTTGCTGAGCACCGCGAAGGAAGCGCTGCATGCAGCCAAAGGCCCACTCTGAGTGTCTGCCTTTTTCACACAGCTACAAGGAGGCCTAAGATATCCCTGAGTAATTCTCACCACCTCCTCAACGCTGTCACAGTGGGTGATCCTGGCCATAACTGTGAAATAAGGGAGGGGTATCCTAACAGCTCTTCCCTACCCCAGTTCTCAAAGGCTAACACTTTGTAAGGCCCAATCGGTTACTCCGGCTGGTAACAACAGCCTTTATTGAGTATCTTTACGTGGGTTTTAGCACCGGGAAACACATCTCATCCCTTTGCTGAAAGTTCAGCTGCTGTAAGGGGTCAACAGCGACCCCAACTCTGGCAGCATCCCCACGCACAGCCCTCTGGTGACCTGGTGGTGCCATGCCCTGGGCCTGGCCAGCCCTGCAGGAAGCTGCCCACCACAGCCTTCCCACAGGAGAGAGCCAACATGTCCTTGGAGGATCAGTCCCATCACAGATGCTGGAGTCCAGAGCAACGCGTTGCCCCAATGAAGTGGGGGATGTTTTTGCACAGCATGGGCTGAGCACCAGGGGGGCATCCTGCACCACTGACATGCCACTGCCTCTCCAGCGTCTTGTCTCAGCTGCGCAGCTTTTTATGCTGGGACCTTTCACCCAGGTCCCGCAGGTGGGTCTTTGCAGCATGGCTAAGGAGTGAAAAAGAAAGGCATCAAGGTTTCAGGCTGGGGACAGAGGCCAAGAAATGCTGCCCTTTTCCTGAGCAGCAGCTGTTTTTGAGGTTGTATGGCCTCCTACATGACTCGCTCCCTGACTTTAACAGGGGAGGTACCAGGGTGGGAATGACTATCTTTTCAAAAAGGTTCTTACGCACCTTCCTCTCGTCTATTCAATCTTCTCCTCCCTCTTCGCCTCTGCTACGGCCTCATTAAATGCTGGAACTTTCTGGCTATTTGGGTTCTGTGCCTGACTTCGCAACTATTAGGCAAGGATAGAAGGAGAGAAAAATGCCTTTTAGGTGGATGGATGAGCAGAGGAAATTTCCCTGGACAGCCTGGAAGCATCCATGAGTGCACAGTCCTTCTCACGACAGTCACCCCGACAGTCTTCTTTTTCAAGTACAGCCAGAATTAGAGGCTTCATCCCTTAGCCAAGGAAGCCCAAGGAAAGACTTGGTTTTGTCCGTGAGCTCCAAAGGCGTTAATTCTTCCATTACAAAAATTAGAAAGTTGCAGAAACATGGCTTATTCCTCAGCATAACACTTCTGCTCAAGCTCATTTTGGCCTCACAAGGAGTGAGCCCACCTGGAGCTCGGGGTCCACCCTCCGGGGCAGGCCCCAAACGCCAAGGTTGCCTGAGTTGAAGGAAGGGAAGGTCAAGCCATGCCATCACCATAGCAATGGCCTCCTTTTGTCCTCCAAATCTGAGAGCTTCTCCGTCCTCGCAGGGACAAGGCAAGCCAGAGCAGCAACAGTCTCTCTTGGCTCTTTGGAGGCCATGATAGACCTGGGACTTGGCTACCTTCAACCCTCCACTCCCCTGGAGGAGAGAATGGCTCTTTTAGAGGATGTCTCCAAGTACCTGAGCCCTCTCCTTGTCAGATTTTGCCCTTCGAGTCTGATAATCAGTCCAGAGGCGCTCCTCTTCCTCTTCTCTCTGTCGCGCCTCTTCAGCCAAGAGGGCCCGAACCTTTCTTTGCTCCTGCTGCATGCAGAGGTAGCATATTTCCTGCAAGGCCACAGAAAAGCAATAGCAGCAGCATGAGGCTCATTTCCTTTGGATATTGCCTCCCCCCCCCCCACCGCACCACCAACCCCATCTTCTATCTGACATGAGAAAGTGGACATGAAGAAGGTAGGAGAGAAGACAAAAGGTACTGGAAATTTTCAAGTAAGTTCCAGAAGAAGCCATTCAATGTGTATACTTGTCATAGGACCTTTTAAGAGTCAGTAGCCTTAGAGCTGTGGTTTTCAGCAGTGAAATATGGCATAGTAATGACACAGATGCATAGAAGGTACCTGTCCCGCTCTCTTATGACCATCACAGACAGGGACATTTGCCTGGGTCCTGGTTTTAGAAAGGCACCTGAGCTTGCCTTCTTCTCCCTTCTTGCAGGAGCTCCCCTCCCA